TACATCCTAGGGTTCCTTTTGCTCTCATTGGTGTGTAATTTGCATGACCCCACCCACTGCATCTCCCTTAACCCTTTCCTATGGCATACAGCAAACAGAGGACTTGATCAGCAACTGAACAGAAGTTTGGGGGACTGACTCAACTGGATGGAAGTTGTAGTTTACCCTAACCTAGGCACAAGCTAGTATAATAATAAAAACTAGAATATATATCAGGCATAGGCAAACTTGTGCCGTCCGGGTGTTTTGGACTTCAACTCTCACAGTTCCTAACAGCCTCAGGCCCTTTCCTTTTCGCCCTCAGTCGCTTAAGTGGAAAAGGAGAAGAAAAGGAAGGAGTCTGAGGCTGTTAGGAATTGTGGGAGTTGAAGTCCAAAACACCCAGATGGCACAAGTTTGCCCATGCCTGATACATAAATGTATGTATACGTATGTATACGTACGTACGTACGTGTGTGTGTGTATATAATTCATTCTTTTAAGAAGTTTAAAATGGCCACCAAATGATACAGAAGTTTAGATGTGAAACGTAAGTGCAATTGGTCAGTAGAGCTATCAGGGCCACTATCCAATGGGAATGAGCCAAACATGTAGCTTGGAAAAGTGACCTTCTGGGCTACAACTATCAGAATTTGTCAACTAGCATGACTGCCATGACTTCTGTAAACTGTAGGGCAATAAAACATTTCCCAGGTTCTAACAGAAATATAAAAAGGAAAATCTGTTGCAGTGTAAAGTTCTGTGGAGTATACAGCCTACAGTTGAATGGGCACCACCCAAAAGAGATGGAGGAACTTGCATATGAAAATGCTAACAATTGTGTGATTAATGCATAAAAACAAAACATTCGTATCTGAAATAATCCATTATACCATAGAAAAAGAAATGTGGATAATTAAGGTGAAAGAAAGTAAGAAGCAACTAGAAAAAAAGTCAATTTGGTTTTAAGCCTTCCTTAATCTGGGTTGCTGTGAGTTTTTCCGGCTGTATAGCCATGTTCCAGAAGCATTTTTTTCCTGACATTTCACCCACATTAATGGCAGGCATCCTCAGAGGTTGAGAAGTCTGTTGGAAACTAGGGAAGTGAGGTTTATATATCTGTGGAATTATATATCCACAGATATATAAACCTCACTTACATAGTTTCCAGTTTCCATCCACCTCTGAGGATGCCTGCCATAGATGTGGGTGAAACATCAGGAGAAAATGCTTCTGGAACATGGCCATACAGCCTGGAAAACGCACAGCAACCTAGTGATTCTGGTCATGAAAGCCTTCAACAACGCATCTTCCTTAATCTGCAACCCTCCAGATTTAGATTACAATTCCCATCATCCCAGTCAGCAGGGCTCTAATTAGAACCGTAGTCAGCCTTACCAGGAGGCCACTAGTTTGAAGAAGTCTTGCCTAACACATTTTGAGAGAATGAGATACAGCCTGCAGGCAGAGATGTGCCTTTCATAGAGTGACAAAAGAATTAAACTTCGTAAACCCCATCTACATGGACTTTGTTTGAAAGCAATTTTAATAGGAAGCATAAGAAGAAGAAAATCCACCCACAACCTCCAATTTAAAACACACAGAAATGTGGTTACTCATTCCTAATCCCACACATCGCAAGTAAACTTTGATACAAAAACAGGATCAACTTCAGCCTCAAATGCATTTTCTTGGCACCAAACTCCAACAATTTAAATGGAAGTTACTTCTAAGTAAGTGTGTTTATGATTAACATGACAGTCATACTATAGTTAGATTTCTGTGCCAGCAACCACGGTAATAATCCAAACCATGAATCATCGTGAAATCAATCTAAGACATATTAGCAAGAGTTAAAAGTACTCAATGTGCAAAAAAGATGCCCTCTTCATTTCTCGTTATTTAGATATTTCCATATAGCTATTCTGGGACACTATCTGCAGGCTCTCTTATCAGTGAGTTGCAGAAAGGCCACAAGTGGGGGTGTCGCTACATTTGTGGGGGCAGAATGAGGGCTTTGTCTCTCCAAAATAAAAGTCTGTCCCTCATGAAATTATTTTCCAGTCTCCAAATTTCCAACATTGCAGAAAGTGAGACACAAAAAATTCACAAACATCTTGAATTTCTACATTTGATGAGTTCACTTTTTTATATAATATAATATATATTAATATAATATTGGTATAGTACAATATAGTAAAATATAATGCTAATATTGTGCTATACTAATAATATAATATATTGTATGTACATATAATATTGATCATAATAATGTAATACAATATAATACTAATAATAAAATATAACATTATATAATATATATTGCATGTAATATTACTAATAATATTGCAGTATAGTGGTATAGTACAATAGAGTAATATATAATACTAATATTGTGCTATGCTAATAATATAACATATTGTTATTGTGATTGTGCTTATTGGAATGTTATTTTATGACTTTTCTTTTTCTTTTTTCCCTTTATGCAATTTTAATGATGTTGTTTGCTGTTTATGCTCTGGTTTTATTTTATTTTGCTGTAATATGTTGTCCAGGCTTGGCCCCATGTACGCCACTCCGAGTCCCCATTGGGGAGATGGTTGTGTTTATTATAAAGTTTATTATTATTATTATTATTATATTGTATGTACATATAATATTGATCATAATCTTGTAATACACTATAATACTAATAATACAATGTAATAATATAATAATAATATATTATATATTATATGTAACTAATTACTAATAATATTGCAGTATATTGGTATAGTGCAATATAGTAATATATAATACTAATATTGTGTTGTGCTAATAATATAATACTTTTTTTGTCATGTCAGGAGCAACCTGAGAAACTGCAAGTCGTTTCTGGTGTGAGAGAATTGGCAGTCTGCAAGGACGTTATAATACTAATATAATATAATAATATAATTATTATATATTATATGCAATATTTCTAATAATATTGTAGTATAGTGGCATAATACAATACAGTAATAAATAAGTCTAATATTGTGCAATGCTAATAATATCAAATAATCTATGTACATGTAACTTGTAAGCTGTTCTGAGACCCCTTTGGGGTGAGAAGGGCATGATATAAATGTTGTAAACAAACAAACAAACAAACAAACAAAACTTTGCCTATTACTTTTCTCCAGAATTGTATTTCTAAAAACTCAAGTGATGCTTTTATTTACCACAATGCTAGAAATTTGGAGTCCGAAGAAAAATTTCAACTGGGGGGCAGAATTCCTATGGAGAGGAAATTCCCCATATCCCAACTATAGATTTTGTTCTCCAGTTTTCCAAGAATGACAGTTCTCAAGACTCGGCTCTCCCTAAGCATGATCTACCAAACATGAATGGCTCTGGAAGACGTAATTCTCACTGTGATTTAGTATGTAGGCTGCCTGCTGCTTGCAGAATTGAGATCCCATCTATCCAATTTCATTATGCTTAAAATACTAAAAAAGAGGTCAGAAGCCAAGCCTGGTTCATCCAGAAATCTGCTTTGTTCCCATAAGATTGGATGCTGCATTCCTAGAGCTATTTGAGGCAGGAAGCTATTCATTCATATATAAGCAGCTTGCAACAGGACCCGCTACTTCAGCGATCAACTCATTTGCCAGGAGTTTACACAAACCGCAGAGGAAGACCTCTTTGGCCCAACCGAGCTTGCAAAGCATCTTGCCCAACGGTTGTGGCACAAGAGAGGCCTAGTGCTCCAGAGAAGACATTTTATTTCTCCCACAATCCTTCAGGTTACTGAGCTGTAAAAGCCTGCCAAGAGGCATTGGAGCACACACCTCTGCCAACAACACCTCCGCCCACGCAGCCAGACTGCAGTTTTATACTGCTCCAAGGGAGAACTGGAAGGGCTGGGCTAGAATGTCAACACCAGGAGAAAAATTCTTACTCCAGGCTGCCTTTCATCTCAGGAAAGGAGGATTGAAGGGAAGGGAGAGAGAGAGAGAGAAAAAAGGAAGGACCAAACCCCAGCAAATATGTCGTCTGTCTGAAGGAGCTTTCATGGCGCGCTTCCCACTCACTTCAAAGTAATCAAAGGGCAATAATTAACATGCGTTTACTGTAGCACAAGATACTCCACTACATGCTGTGACAGAGCTTGCATGAGGAATCCGTTCTACTGCAGGCGATATTTTCTTCCCTTCAGAAGTCTATGGCAATCTCAAAACAGCTCTGCAAACACACACACATATACACAGGCTGGGTGAGGATGGGGCCCCTGAATGGATACTGAGTGGTGTTTTTCCTTAATGCATCTAAGTAGAATGTCCTGCTTTTCTCTATCCTGTAATGCTCTCAGATCACTCTAAAAAATACACAGGGAACAGTCCTCGTTGGGATCCAACTGGGCAAAAATTAGGTTCAAGGTGCGTAGCTCTTTGACAATACAGGCAAGGCAATGTTCTTGTGGTGTGGCAGTGTGCAGCGCATGCCCTTTTGTAGCTGCTTTTGCTGAGTTGTTGGCTTGCCAACGACTAATGCTCCCGAAAGCTGCTCAAGTTTCACCAGCAAAGCTTTGTCCTTCACAGCCCTCGCAACCTAGCTACGGCTATAATAGCCAGGAAAGTCATTGAGGGAATTGGAGGCCCATGGCTGGTGAGAGACAGAGTGCTCTTGCACTTGCTGTCAAATGGATTTTAATATCTTTTTACATTATGAAGTATTCATGGGGGCTTGAAAGGGTTCTGCCGAGATCAAGGTTAATCGGCAGCAGCCCCAGAGATGCTCAAAGAAACACCCCCAACTTCGTCAATTAAACGGGAGCTGTTAACCGAGCCTCCAATGTCACACCATTCGAGCAGCTCCTTTTTTCTTTCTTCCAAGGTCTGCTGATTCTACAAATTCACGCCAAAGTACATACTTAAGTGGCATTTCTATTAGCAAAAGCAGCATGCAAACAGAGAAAGGGCAGGGGCGACTAGAACCCATCCTCTGTTGTTGCCATGTCTTCACAACCATGAGACAAAAGAACAAGAGCGACTTACAGTTATCGGGCTGGAAATCGGGGACAAACTGTTCATCGTCAGGAACTTGGGCTACAAAAGAGGGAGAAAGAAAGGATTTTAAGTATTACCCCACTGAGTCTATTTCCTTAAATTGAAGACAAAGAGGTCCATAGGTTCAGAATCACAGTCCAACCCCTGCCAAGAAGCAGGAAAATTGCATTCAAAGCATACAAGTCACCTGCATTACAAAATATTATCCCTGTGGCAATAATTTTAAAAACAACGGGCATAGAAAATACTATTTCCCAAAACTAGCAAAGGCAACAAATTATATCTAAGAGATAACAAAGCAAAGTAAGAATAGATAACTAGCCACCACCCTTCAACCTGGTCATGGGCTTTGCAGTCCAGAGGTGCTGGATTCCAAAACCCATCATCTTTTAGTGTCCAAAGGTCCCTGATTGTGGGAATTCATGCACAAAGACATCAATAGCAATTTACCTTCAGCTAGCCAAGCCTCCTGAAGCTGGCTGAGATCTTGAAACAATTCTGAAAGAAAATGAGAAAACACAAAATCAGCGTTCTTTCTCTATATGAATTAGAAAGTATACATGTTCTATTTAGAATGGTGATTCAGTCCTATCTACACTACCATATAATGCAGTTTAAAAATTAGCTATATGGTCAATGGAGACTGCATTGAACTGCATTGTATGAGCCTACACTGACCATAAAATGCAGATTCAAACTGCATTTTATATATGGCAATATAGATGGGGCCTCATACAAACCTAAATTTATGTTGTCTCCTGCACTGTGCTAATAATATAATATATTGTATATACATATAATATTGATAATATTATAATGTAAAACAATATAATACTACTAATAATACGATATTATAATTATATTGTTTATATTACATGTAATATTACAACAACAACAACAACAATTTTTATTGATTAGCCAGTTGGCCTTATCAAAACAGACCGTGCAAACACAATATATAATATACATCTAGTCCTCTTAAAATAAAATACAAATATACAGGTGTTTGTTAGCCTGAAACCAATGTAGCTTACCTGTAGATATATTACAATATTATGGTATAGTACAATATAGTAATATATAATACTAATATTGTGCTATGGTAATGATATAATATATTGTATTTACATATTACTTGTAAGCTGCTCTGAGTCCCCTTTGGGGTGAGAAGGGCGGCATATAAATGTCGAAAATAAATAAATAAATTTAAGGGAGGGTTTCTGGTGCACTACCTTCAGAATCATGAGCCAAGTCGGTGTCTTGAAACTTCCTTTTTCTGTCATTCATTGGCCTCCCTCGGCATTCATCTCCGCAAGGTTTCTGATACACAAACAAAAAGAAATGACACCATGAAGGGCAAGCCTTCCCAAAGCAAAGTCAATACAAACTTTATCCAAAACCAAGGTGGGGGAATGGGGAAAAGGTTGTATGCTGAGGAAACAAACATCACATATGGAGGTAAAACTGAATGAGACCTACCCCAGGGACCATGAATGGGACTTGCTGGTCATAAAAGCCATCCATTGTGCTTGCAGATTCTTTAATATTCCCTTGAATGTTTTGAGCATTGAGCTCTTCCAGGATGAGAAAAGTTCAGAATCAACCTCTGGCAGATTTAATACTGGAGAAGAGAGAGAGAGAGAGAGAAATCAAAACATGCTCTGCCTTCAAGCCACCTGAAAAGATAGACTCGAGTAGCATGTGAGCAGAGTCACCAAAGCTTTGAGGATTAGCTGCAGCGCTTAATTAATGTAACCAAACAGCCTTAATCAGGGGGAAGAAAACATTTCTTTTTAGTATTTTCCTCTCAATTCACCAAATGATACTCATTCACGAGGCAACCACTCCACGAGACCACCATATCTTTTTTAGCTAACAGACAAAAGGTCCCAAACCTTGAATCCATGATGTCACTGCGTTACCGTGGAAACGCCGTGACGTCACTAAAGACAAATTACAACCTCTGAAGAACAAACACGGGGACCGGCATGGATTACAAGGCAGAGATCACATTGCACATGGGAGTCCATTTTCTCCCTACATGGTCAAAAGATAAAATATAAATAGCAACAAGTGCACAGAAAGTCACTTCTACTTTGTGAAAGAGCTCCGCTTTCAGGAGATGGAGGACAGGCTCAGGCAAGGGTTCCAGGTTGTGAATGGCCCCCCAAGGAACCTTCGGTTTGGATCCAAGTGCTATATATAAATATGCAATCTTTCAAAGCAATAACATATTTACTCAGAAGCTCCATGCTAGGCAGACACCAGATCGAACTAAAGCAAAATGTCCCTTGTTCTGTTGATGCAACTTTCAGTGTGGAAAAGAGATCTGTTCCCAGAAGAATGCTTTTCATTCACCTCTTCTAAAGTAAACCCACGGCCAAGTTATGCATAAGGCATTTCTCTTCTGGATCTTCTTATTTTAATTGAACAGTGATCCAAAGATACTGAATAGGCACAATAATAATAATAATTTGAGGAAAACAAGGCATTTGGGGGAGAGGAGGCACTGATGATGATGATGATGATAATAATAATAATAATAATAATAATAATAATAATAATAATTTGAAGAGAACAAGCCATTTGGGGGAAATGAGGCACTGATAATAATAGTTATTATTATTATTATTTGAGGAAAACAAGGCATTTGGGGGAGAGGAGGCACTGATGATGATGATGATAATAATAATATTTTGAGAACAAGCCATTTGGGGGAAATGAGGCACTGATAATAATAGTTGTTGTTGTTATTATTATTATTATTATTTGAGGAAAACAAGCCATTTGGGGGAAAGGAGGAACTGATAATAATAATAATAATAATAATAATAATAATAATAATAATAATAATAATAATTTGAGGAAAACAAGCCATTTTGGGGGAGAGGAGGCACTGATTATAAATCTGACTATCTCACCAGACTAATTGTTGCAAATGACAATTAAAAAAAATCTTCTTTAAGGGTGAAAATTGGGATATAATAATAATAATTTGAGGAAAATGAGTCATTTCATAACCTTTGGGGGGGGGGAGGAGGTACTGAATCTGACTGTCTCACCTGACTAACTGTTGCCAGCAATGCTTTAAAATCTCCTTTAAGGGAGGGAAGTAGGATATAAATATGATAATAATACTTGAGGGAAATGTGTAGTTTCATAAACTTTGGGGAAAACGCGAATTTCACTGTCCCACTGGATCAACTGTTGCAAGCTCCTTTAAGATAGGATACAATAATAATATAAAATAATATATAATATAACATATAATATATTAATATAAAATAATATATAATATACTATAATATATAATAAATCTTTCTATTTTAACTTTCACTACTTTATTTTCTTTTTTAGACTTTTCACATTACACTTTCTACCTTCTCTCTTTTCCTCCTCTTTTCTGTTGTTTTGTTGTTCTCTCCTCTTTTTTATTATATAATATTATTTTCCTATTTTTATGTATGCTAATAAAGATTATTTTTTCAGTCTCCTTTGAGAAAAGAATATAAAATAATAATTTAATAATATATAGTATAATATTACTATTAAATGAAAATATTTAATATATTCTATTCTATTATAAATATATTTATAAAATAATATTATATTATAATATAAAATAATAATATAATAATATTTATTAAATATATTATATTTTATATTTTCCTATTCTTATACTTATGTATGCTAATAAAGATTTTTTTTAAAAAGTCTCCTTTAAGAAAAGAAATTATAATATAAAATAATAATTTAATAATATATAATATATTACTATTAAATGAAAATATATAATATATATATTCTATTCTATTATAAATATATTTATAAAATAATAATATAATATAAAATAATAATATAATAATATTTATAAAATGAAAATATATAATATAATAATGTATTCTATTGTATTATAATATAAATATATTTATATAATAATATTATAATATAATAATGATATATAATATAATATTTATTAAATAAAAATATATAATATAATATATATTATAATATAATATCTATAATATATTAATAATATATATTAATATCTATAATATATTAATAAAATAATATTATATTATAATATAAAATAATAAAATAATAATATATATTAAATAAAATATGTAATATAATAATATATATTATAATATCTATAATATATTAATATAAATAAATATAATAATATGAAATAATAAGAGTAGTGATAATAAGACGAAAAAGAGGTCCCTGCCAACTGCTCAAGACCTTTCCGAGACTCTTTTAACCTCATCCATCTCCAAGATTTTAAAGCCACGACGGCATTCCTGGGATTCAACGCGAGGAAAAAAGCCCAGAAGCCCTATTTCTTCTTCTCCCCCATTCGCGAACCTGGCCTAACTTTTATGAATGGCCAAGGAAGAGGAGCAGGTAGAGTGTAACCCGATCCCGGCGCAAGGTCCCCATTCACCATGTATGCCTAGAGAGAGAGCTCTCCTTCTCACCCCCTCCAGCGGCGCACTTTCCAGCTCGCTCCATTCACGAAACGCCACCCCTCTCCAGAACGCCGCCCCCGCCCTCCAGGCTCCATTCACAGAAAAAAAAAGCCAGCTCCATTCATAAAAAGCGCCCACATCCAGCCAAGGGAAAAAAACAACCCACAGCGTGGCTTCCACCGCGCAGAGCCAGTGCCTTGGGCTCCTCCACCAAATCCCTCCGGGCTCCAGCCCCCCAAGACTTCGCCTCCTTCCAGGCCCCGCTCTATCGAAGCTTGCACCCCAATATTAGCACCTGCACCCCCGCCTTCCCCTCTAAAGCCCTTCCCTCCCCTCCTCCGTGCGAATAGGGGGCTCTCTTTGGAGGGCTCTCACCTGCCCCATAGAGAACCGCCTCGCTGCCGCTCGAAGCCCCGTGTCTCCGCCGGGTTTGCAGCCGGAGCCCCCGAGCGGCCTCCAGAGCCCGCCTTCGCGCCCGCCCGCCATTGGCCCGCAGCCCTGCCAGCGGTTGTCAATCCCAGCTTGTTTACCCTACCGGGCCGCCAATAAAGCTCGGAGGTGAGGCCGCCTCCCAGTTTATGAATGGTTGCCGTTGCCCAGAGCGGCGTTCTAATCCCGCCTCCTGGCAACGATGGAGTGTGAAAGGGGGTTTCACCCTCCCCTTGGGAGAGAGGCAGCCAATCAAGGCGGCTGTGATTTACATACTGTTTCGAGGAGCGTTTTCATTCATAAAAAAAAAGAGAGAGGAGATATATATCGCGTTCCGAGGGTGAGGCAGAAGCGAGGAGAGATTTAAAGGCACAGCGCACCGTTTTTTTTTTTGCTAGCTATAAGGAAGGGGCTATAAAGCCGTGATTTACATACTGCTTCGAGGAGCGTTTTCATTCATAAAAGAAAGAGAGCTCTATAGCGTCCTGAGGATGAGGCAGAAGCAAAGAGAGACTTAAAGGGACCGCGCACAATTTCTTTTTGCCAACTAGGCTACGAATTGTTCTGATCTGGCTATGCCCAGAGTTTGCCCTGCCTTGAATTATTGTGTGTGTGTGTGTGTTTGGGGCACTTTCCCTGTTGCAATATCATATTCGGAGATTTGGCAGAGATTGCCACAAAAGGCCACTCACTCCCTATTTTGTTTATCTTAACCATGGCTCTCTCTCTCTCTCTCTCTCTATATATATATACTAGCCATCCCCTGCCACGCGTTGTTGTGGCCCAGTCTGTGCATATGTGTTTTGTGTGTGTATATATGTGCGTATATGTTTGTGTTTTTGTGTATATATGTGTTTTTGTGTATATATGTGGTTTTGCACATGTGTTGTAATGTATTTTTGGGGTTTTTTTTTGGCTTTTTAAGTCTCTTCTGTGTTTTTCAGTGTTTTTATGGCCTGATACGTGTGTTGTGTCCAAATTTGGTGTCAATTAGTCCAGTGGTTTTTGAGTTATGTTAATCTCACAAACGAACATTACACACACACAGATATATAAATGTATATGCGTGTGTGTATATAGTGTGTGTGTATATATATACTAGCTGTCCCCTGCCACGCGTTGCTGTGGCCCACATGGGGGTTCTGTGTGGGAGGTTTGGCCCAATTCTATCATTGGTGGGGTTCAGAATGCTCTGTGATTGTAGGTGAACTATAAATCCCAGCAACTACAACTCCCAAATGTCAAGATTCTATTTTCCCCAAACTCTACCAGTGTTCACATTTGGATATATTGAGTATTTGTAGAGTTTGGTCCAGATCCATCATTGTTTGAGTCCACCGTGATCTCTGGATGTAGGTGAACTACAACTCCAAAACCAAAGGACACTGCCCACCAAACCCTTCCAGTATTTTCTGTTGGTCATGGGAGAATGTGCCAAGTTTGGTTCAATTCCATCGTTGGTGGGGTTCAGAATGCTCTTTGATAGTAGGTGAACTATAAATCCCAGCAACTACAACTCCCAAATGACAAAATCATTTTTTTTGAGTGAAGGACATACATTGGATTGTTAGGTGTCTTGTGTCCAAATTTGGTGTCACTTCGTCCAGTGGTTTTTGAGTTCTGTTAATCCCACAAACGAACATTACATTTTTATTTATATAGATATAGTGTGTGTGCGTGTGTGTGTCTATATATACACAGCTCCAAAACCCTGGAGCGCAATTAAGGTGGTACCAAACTGCATTAATTCTACACTATCTGCCCCATAGTTTGCCACTCTTAAATAGATGTCCTGCTCCTTCTATTAACTTGTTTCAGTCTCCTCAAAGTCTGTAGGATTAAACTTGCATCTGGAAGACAGCAATGCTTGTGCAACAGTGGGGAATTTACAGTATTTCTGAACTTAGGGTGCATTAGATCAGGAGGGTTTCCTCCAGTTTCTTTTCAGCAGGTTAGAATGGCAATTACAATACAAAAATAAAAGAAAGCCACTCCCCTACACTCCTTGCATTGATTTATTCGGATATTAAAACAATTGAAACCTGCCTTTCATCTTTATGGATGAGCACAAATATAATTAAAATGCTGGTATAAAATCCTCAGGAGAAGAATCAACATGGGGAATATTTCAAGAGTGTTTCATTTCTAGGCGGGCATCTACGCCAGGCTTAAGCAAACTTTGGCCCTCCTTGTGTTTTGGACTTCAACTCCCACAATTTCTAACAGCTTCAGGCCCTTTGCTTTCTCCCCTCAGCCACATAAGCTGAGTCGAAATTTGCCCAAGCCTGATCTACACTGTAGAAATAATGAAGTTTGACACCAAACTACATAACTTAGGAAAATAATACCTGGTGTCTACTCTCACTTGAACTGCAAGCTTTCCCCACTCTCCTGTGGTGCAGCGGGTTAAACCACTAAGCTGCTGAACTTGTTGATCAGAAGGTTGGTAGTTTGAATCCAGGGCAGTGGGGTGAACTCCCACTGTTAGGCACAGCTTCTGCCAACCTAGCAGTTTGAAAACATGCAATTGTGAGTAGATCAATAGGTACTGCTTCTGCAGGAAGGTAATGGCGCTCCATGCAAGTCATGCTGGCCACATGACTTTGGAGGCATCTATGGACAACGCAGGCTCTTCGGCTTAGAAATGGAGATGAGCACCATTCTCCAGAGCCAGACATAATTAGACTTAATGTCAGGGGAAACCTTTACCTTGAGAGTCACTCTCTTTGTTCAGGATATGTTTTTCCAAGGTGTAGCTTGTATACAACAGGGAAAGAAATTGTGCAGCAAGAAACAGGTTTTTTTTTAATGCATGGGCCATAGACTTTAGTGAAGAACATTTTTTTTTATTAAACAGTTGAGAAAATGAGGAACACAAAATCCAAAAGACATCATTACCATATTATTAAATATAGACATTATTCCAAGGTGTAGCTGGGCATATTGTGTGCAATAGGAAAATAAAATGTGTTGTAAGTAGTAGTTATTTTACTTGTAAATGAAATATTAGTCTTGGTCAGGACAAAGTGGTTTAAGGTTATCAGGGCTTAATATTGGAACCAACTACCTGATTGTTCCATTTGTGAGAGCTGTTCAGCAGTGGAACTCTCTGCCCCGGAGTGTGGTGGAGGCTCCTTCTTTGGAAGCTTTTAAACAGAGGTTGGATGGCCACCTGTTGGGAATGCTTTGAATGTGATTTTCCTGCTTCTTGGCAGGGGGTTGGACTAGATGGCCCATACGGTCTCTTCCAACTTTATGTTTCTATGATTCTATGGCTGGAAGATGCTTTTGTTTATATCAACCATAGCATCGCCTTTTCTAAGCCATAGACCTGATCCTGCATAGCAATTTAATATCAATAGGCCTTTTTAGAAGAGATCCTGAGTACAATACTCACTCCTGCTTTATGAATTCAAGGCATATCAGGAAACTGCAGAAGTATAACTTCTTTTATAATTTCTTCTATAGTTAAAATTAAAATACATTACCATGTTTATGCAAGACTGAGGTCAGCCCACACTTACTTCACTGCCACGCTCAGGGCATATCACTTTCTGAAAGTACTGCCTACCTACAACTATTTTACACTTGCTGATTACTATCTGAAGACCAAATGGGTGTGATGCACCTGAGGATTGTGCAAATTTGGGTTGAACTGCAGTTATAGGATAGTGATTGCTCGGTAGTGACTTAGCTCACATGTGGCACTTGGTGAAGCAACTGCATCATCTCTTCTAGATGAACACAGCACCTCACAGATGTGTCCTATCTCATCACACCTGTCAGATACTATACCTGTCTGATGCAGTCAAGCTGACCTTCATGATGCATGTGTCGGTTTGGCAATCTAGGCTTCACCTGGGGCAAACTCTTTTTTCATTAGAACCTTAGTTCAGTTCATGAATCTGTTTGTATGGATTATTGCTTGAAGGGATGGGCAACACTCATTTTCCTCTTGTTATTCAGCTCCCATCAGAAGTACTGAACATGGCCAATGGCCAAGGATGATAGGTTTTGAAATACAAGAGCATTAAGAAGGTCACAATTGCTTAACTCTACAATGTGATCTTCCTGAAAATAGCCCCCTTTGGTCTTTTCAGTCCATATGTGAAGGTTTGGATGGAGTTGTGTCTTTCATGTTGATGTTGTAGTTGTGTGCCTTCAAGGCATTTCCAGTTCATAGCCATCCTAAGGTGAACTTATCTCAAGGGTTTCTTGACAAGATTGGTTTAGAGGAGGATTTGACTTCCTCTGAGAGAGTATAACTTGCCAAGGTCATCCAGTGGATTTCCAATGCTCAAACTACTGCACTGTGCTGCTCTACCACTGATTTTGTGGGACCACTGGATGTCTGCACACATTTCACCCTTTTGTCCTCCATCCATGCTTCTTTGAATTCTAGAGCACTGCTGGTCACAGCTGACCTCCAATTACCGTGCTCAAGGGCCAGGACTTCCTAGGTCTCGGTGTCTATGCCACAGTTTTTAAGGTTGGCTTTAAGCCCAACTTAAAATCTCTTTTCCTGTCCACCAACATTACGTTTCCTGTTTTTGAGTTGGGAATATAGTAACTGCTTTGGGAGACGGCATTCGGACAAACGTGGCCAGTCCAGAGGAGTTGGGAGGACAATGCCTTTATAAACACGCACCTTGGTCTCCCTACGGATATCCTGGTCCTCAAACACTCTCTGCTTCATTCTGAAAAATGCTGCACTTGTAGAGCTCAGGCGGTATTGCATTTCAGTGTCAATGTTGACTTTTGTGGAGATTACCTGTGAAATGTATGTGGTTACCATAACTCAAGAGGCAACTTGGAGGGACATGCTTCAATGTTTAAGTCCCAAAGAAGCAGCACATTAAAGGAGAGAGTGAGACAAAGCTGGAAGGGAGAAAAGACATGATCTTGAATGCGTCCTTCACCAGCTAGCCTGCCCCAGTAAACTGTACTTCCTTAAACATTCCCACTATGTAGATAGATTGTTTCATTCTAGCTTGATTTGTTCACACTCATATGCTCACCTGATATCAGCATAGCTAAACTGCAGCAAATCT